GGAAACACTGTATAGTATTGTAAAGTTCTGATGACCTATTGAGGAGATATTTAAAATATCATTTAGATGAACAATCCAAGCCATCCTTACATAGACAGTGCTGCCACCTGTCTGATGTATGATTTCAAGAATATGTAGCATTAAGTTATTATTGTGAATTATTTAGCCGAAAAGCTTTTAAATTGCCAAGAAGAAATGAGAAACCGAATCTATCATTCGATTTATCACTCGCCCTTGAGTTATTACCGGTTTCAGGGAATCCCCCCCCCCCAATCAGTAACCTTGGACATGGGTATGTGAAGCCTAGTTTTATTCTTTCGATTGTACAAGGTCAAATCAGAGTTGGAATTCCCCGAAAATGGTAATAAATCAACGAAAAATGGTAAATCAAATGATAGATTAGGTTTCACGGTTTAATTTGACCATTAGAACAAATATTGTACGTTTATACCCTAGACCGATAGCTGTGTGCTTTAGGAAAACATATTTTTGTATTCTGTATTTATGTTAAAACTACTTGTCCTAATTTTGAACTACTGACAAGAGGGAATGCGGGAAATCAGTAGTATCCTCCATACACACTAAGAGATTAACCGTCATTCTTATAACACGATCACAGCTTAATTTGTGTGTGTGTGTGTGTGTGTGTTGGAGATATTTTGTGGTATAACACAGATGTAACTCCGGCTTGTCAGCTCTGAAATCCAGAGCTCTACCGCAGAGCCCCTTTAAAATAAAGGAATTCATTCCAAAATTACCGAGCTGTCTTTATACCGTTCTCTGCAGTGTACCCCATATATTGAACTACATGGAGTAGTTAGTACCTAGTACAATACTCAGTGTAAAGAAATGACATAAAAAACTTGGTGAAATCACTTGTTTTCTTCGAAAAATACGATGTACTAGATAGTGAGAATAATGGTATTTTTATGTATAAATAGTTCAGAATAAAATGTGTTTTAAAATCAGATGGGGGGGTCAGGTCCCCTCGCTAACTCTAGGTTTAAACAATGCAGATTTTTATTTAGTTAAATGTGCTGTGGACAATTAGCGAGTTAACATATGTACGTACTTTATCATCTTATAAACAAATATTGAAGAAATCCCATAATAATAGTGTTCAATTCAAAATCAACGCCATTGCCACATTTACACGAAACGCTTAAAGTTTCGGACAGCTCTTTACAGTGATTTTTGGAATGGTTTCATATATTGTATTTTTTATTAAGTGGACTCAAACGTAAAATTCTTCGTCTATTTTTTTTTCTAAGTTTTTTCACATTTTCTCGATTTCGCCAGTTGAGGGCGCTCGACTCGCAACCTGTGGGTCGCGGGTTCGAATCCCCGTCACACCAAACATGCTTATCCTTTCAGCCTTGGGGGAGGGGGGCGTTATAATGTGAATGTCAATCCCACTATTCGTTGGTAAAGAGTAGCCCGAGAGTCGGCGGTGGGTGGTGATGACTAGCTGCCTTCTCTCTGATGTTACTCTGCTAATTTAGGGACGGCTAGTGCAGATAGACCTCGTGTAGCTTTGCGCGAAATCCATAACAAACAAACAATCAAACACACCAGAAAGTAATTGAACCAATGATACATATGTACATAAAATATACTTTACATTCTAACATGTTCTTATCCTAAGATGTATATAAGAATTTTGTCCAAGTCATAAAAATTATAAATACACTAAGATTTGTTTGCTTTTAAGCCCAAACTTACATAATGAACAGTAACTCAGCGGTAACTACGAAGGCTTACAACACTAAAACCGGCTTTTGACACCCGTGGTGGGCACAGCACAGGTAGTCCATTGTGTAGTTATGTACTCATCAGAGGATATCGAACCCTGAATTTTAGTGTTATAAGTTCTCGAACTTAACGCTCAGCTACTGTATGGGGGAGGGGGGCGCTAAAATCTCTTTGTTTTTAAGAGCAAGGCTGCGTAATCGAATGTACGAGATATGACCAATGCAGGCGGTGAAACCCCGAATATTAGCATTATCAGCCCTCAAGCTTACCGCTGAGCCACCAAGAACCTAAATACTAAGGAATCACGTAGGATATAAAATTAGACGAATCACAATGTTAAGAAATCTTATCCTTCCGTGAAAGAGACCCTTAATTCTTCGAGGACAAACTTTCTTATCCTTCCGTGAAAGAGACCCTTAATTCTTCGAGGGCGAACTTTCTTATCCTTCCGTGAAAGAGACCCTTAATTCTTCGATGGCGAACTTCCTTATCCTTCCGTGAAAGAGACCCTTAATTCTTCGAGGGCGAACTTTCTTATCCTTACCGTGAAAGAGACCCTTAATTCTTCGAGGGCGAATTTGTGGGCAAAGGAATATTTCATTTAGTACCGAGTGT